CCCTTCATACGAACAAAAGTAAGAGAAATTTAGGATAAGAATACGAACATGTTCTTGCATGAGGCCCATTGTTCTGTCCTAAACATTACGCTAAGACTGCTTCATATTTTTGGAGGACGCTTTTGTTTTAGCGAGTGTCGCCCTCCATCTTCCTCTCTCTCTGTCGAGAGGGGAGCTCAGAGCTCACCCTGCGTGCCTGTTAGCAGGTAACGGCAGGTACAGGAAGCGATAGCGGTCAAAATACCTCAGAAACTCATCCAAATAAGCGAACTCTGTGAGATTCAGCGTTTTATACTGGATTACTTTTTGAGATTCTGTCTGCGTTATCTTAGCAACTTATAAATGGAAGTGGAGCGGGAGAAGGTGGATTCTGATTGGCTGTTGTTGCGCACATTTCTGCCACGTTTGATCGAGGAAGAGGCTCACAGATGATCACTGTGATCGACCTGAATTTTTTCTCAATCAATAATCGTGATGAAATAATCGCTCAGCCCTAGTAGTGAGAATCGTCAACATTTAACCCTTGAATAACCAAAGGTTAAAACACAGCAGTTGTGTGAGAAGTGAGAACAAGATGCTGCACATTTAAAACAAACTTTAACAAAACTAAAAGGAGTCAATAAATGAATGATGTTCAGGTTGTAAATAAATGGATTTTAGAGGGGAAAACTATGGGATGAAGGTGTGTTCAAAGTGAAAAGAATAAATCATTCAGAATAAAAACAAATAAAGCAACTGAAGAAGTTGAGATAGGAACCGCCCATCTTCCATTTAGCACCTTGCTTCTATACTGCTGTTCCCCCAGTCTGAAGCGGACGTAGAAGTGACCCGTCTGCGAGCACTGCAGCAGATCCCGACCTTCCACCAGAGTCACTGAGACAACAGACGTCCACAGCTGACTCTTTCTCAGAGAATCTGACAGACGAGAGTTCGGAGACGGGCCTCCCTGGAAGACAGGATTAGGAAGCTAATGAGACAAGGAGCTAAGAGGGAAAAAGGGAAAAAAATGGGATTACAAAAAATAAAAAATAAAAATCAATCAAGCCAAATCAAATTCCTTTAAAATGCACAGAAGAACAGTGAGCAGATATACAAGACAGAGAGCTTATGAAGCAGAAAACTGAATTATTTTAATAAGCAACATGCTTTCAGTCAGTCCTGAAACATGCAACCTTAAAAAGAAGACTAAAACACTGTTATCTGAGCTGACATGGCTGTAGAGTCTAACTCTGCTACGATGTGTTCCCTTTCTCTGTACACCTGTTTAACAGGCTTCCAAACTCACTGATTTCTAACTATTCCTAACAAAAAGTGAGGTCATGCTTTATGAGCACTGCATTAACATGCAAACAGCCAAGCCCTGATGGGACAAAATACACAGCAAGAAGCAAATAAGAGGGGCAATGTGCAATCAGTTTTTCAGTTTTTTTTTGTGCAATCAGCTTTATGAGTTAAACCCCGCCCCCTCGTCACAGTGAAACCAGAACACAACTGTCAGACTCTTTCTTTTCTGTTATACCGCTCTGCTAAAACTTCATTTTTTCATTAAAAACTTTCATAATTTTTTTATTATTCAATTCTTTAATCATATACTTGTTTATTGTGTCGTAGACACAAATAAAACTAAATTTAGAGACAGTTAGTAAACTTCAAGACTTCCTGTGTAAATTTGAGTCAACATGAAGAAAAGGTGACTTTTACTTTGAAATTCTGATTACTTGCTGTTACAAGCATTTCATTTGATCAGAAAAGATTTTGTTTTCCTGCCATCTTGTGACAAGAAATGAAAACAGATTTAGATCAACAGATAACTGCCAAACATGCGTAAAGAATTGTGGTAATGTTTTGAACAGTCCGACCAGAAAGAGACTAAATTTAACCTAAAATGTATTAGATTCCATTTTAGGTTGTATCACTGACAAAATGAATGATCTCCTTTACATCTGGCAGATATCTGGATATTTGCTGATTAAAGTAATTATTAAGTATTTAACAGTCTGTCCAGTGTGTCCCCTCCACCATGGCTTACCCCACTACTTCGGTGTCGGAGCCACCTCTGCTGACAGGAGCATGCAAGTTAGGTGCAAAATAAAACAACACTGTGTTTAGTTGGCTATGGGGAAACATTGCAAACATAATGACAAACACAATAAAAACATAATAAAAAGTAAGTCAACACTCTCTCAGCTAAATATTTTACATATCAGGATCTAATAAAAACAACACGTTACTCTAAATGAGGTAGATATGATGATGGATGAGTGACGTCATGAGTTCACTGAGTCGTTATTTATTTGAAAGGAAGAAAACTAAAATGCAGAAGCAGAGGGAGAGAACCTCACGTAATTTGATGGCTTACCACAGCCGATGTCTGGACCTTTTCTTTTTCATCCTAATATATATTAGCTGCTGTGATTGGATCATTGTCCTGCTTCATGACCTGCTTTGATCCAAGCGTTAGCTGTCACACACACGTTGACTCTACAATAATTTGATTCACCGAGGAGTTGACGGCCGACTCGATGACTGCGAGATGCCCGGGTCCTGTGGCTGAACAACAAGCCCAAATTATCAGCAAACAACCATCAGGCTTTACAGTTGGTATGATGGAAGCTAATTCATATTCTTTAATCCCAACCGTCTTCACTTCGGCAAAGTTTCTTCAAGGGTAATATGTTCAAAAAGGCTTGACGTTTCTTTGAAACTTTAGAGACTTAAAGTGCCTGTGAGGTCAAATTTTTGTAATACATATGAATGCATTTTTAGAAAGAGGAAATGATAAAATATTGCAAAAGAAATTTCATGTTGCTGAAATGAACAGTAGTTGAGATATTTGACTGTGAAGTAACAGGAAGTGATGTCAAAGTTGAATGTGAACAGAGCATTGCTACAACAGTCAACAACCCAGACTGTAGAGAAGAATCTGATGTTTCTTAAGATTAGTTTGAGTCTCAATCAGAAAGAGATGAAAAAGAGTCAGAGTTCAAATAATATTGTTTCAATAAACAAAGACCAGAGAGTTTTCTTTGTTAAAGAGTTCCCCTTTGACGTCACTTCCTGTTTCACTTTGGCTGAGCCAAGTTAAAAAAAATATGCCAGTTATGTGACAAAATGGGTCAAATTGTGTGTATTATTCCAACTTTCTTACATATAAAGATGTTTTCTTTGACTTTTTGTATTTGAAGAATTTGCATGTTACAGGCACTTTAAGTTTTACTGCCATATTCTTTTTTAAAAAGAAAAGTGTTTCAGAACAAGTCATACTCGTTCACTCCTCTTCAAGTCATACTGGGACAAACATTTGTCATCATACTGAAGAAACCTGTGAAATCAGACTTAGCCTTTTTGACTTTTACTGAGCTTTGCTCAAACTTTCTTATTATCAGGTAATTTGATATCATTTTAATTAGCATTAGCAGCTGCTGCTAATGGTGCAGTAATGCAAGAGTGGACTTTCCCTTTTTGTTCACAATGCTTCTGCATTTTGGCTTAGCTGGTAAAACAAATGAAGACAAACACTTTGTTGTGCTGTTCAGCTGATGTATWTAACTAATTTATATTTTTTCTGATAGATCCTGATACATATAGGCTTCAAACTTGAGTGTATTTTCTTTTCATTGTGACTTTCGGTTCAGAGTYCTCATACGTTGCCTTTCTTGGAGCCTCCATTTCTGAGACACAGTCTCATGTCCACCAGCACACTGCCCATGTCCTCCTCCAAAGAGTTTTCATCTTTCAGCTCCAAAGCCAACTCATGGAGCCTGAGGGAAGGTGAATTATATAATGTCAGAGTGGAGTGAGTAAACGTAGCGCAGATAACGTGAATAAAATGTTTTTGTGTAGTTGTGTTGATGTCCACCAGGGGGTGCCTCTTGTCTGTATTTCAATACAAACAACTCTTACAACTAAATGGATAAACACAAAATTATAACCATGTTTTTTCCTTTTTTACTGACAGATACTGACGTGAGTACCAGCCAGTTTATTTGCTCGAAACAAACAGTGTTTCATTTGCCTGCAACAATAAAGGTTCATGATAACGCTCACTTGTCAATCTCCAGGTCACTCAGGTGGACGGCGTTAGAGCCCATAAAGTCATCAGAGGTAAGATCCCGGTCGTATACCTGCGTCACATCAAACAGCAGACTGTTAGAAAGCTACAGAGGAAGTCACAATGAGGAACCACACACTGATCCCTACAAAAACCAATACACTCACTGAGTATTGAGTTTAATAACACAACATATTTTCTATTAAATATGAGTACAACTTCTTAAGAAAAGTTTCATAAACATATTTGTTTCACAAAATAGTTAATTCCCAAAGCATATGCAAAACAAACTTTACATATCAGTGGCTTTGAAAAGCACCACTAAATGTGCAATCATGAGAATCCCCCCCCCCCCCAAAAAAAAAAAAAAAAAAAAAAACTTCCACGTTTTGCAAAACAGAAGACAAAGTTTTGCAAAGACTGAACCTAAAGATCAGCTCGAGGCTGGGAGGTTACCTTAACGTAAAGTTTCTGATTCAGATCCTTCACAGGCAAAGAGAATGACTCGTTCCATGTGGGGTTCAGGTTTTTGAAAATCACTTTGCTTTTGTAGATCGTTTTTCCATCCAGCTTGAACTTTACATACGGGTCGCTGGTGCCTGATGAACAGAACGAAATGTTTTATTTAATCTGGTCAAACTGAGGGGAAAGTTTAGCACGTTGTGAAAGAATTGGAGCATATTTTGATTACAAATAAATTCTTGATGTTTCTTATAGCCACAACCCCTTTTTAAATTGCCAATATGACATGAAAAGCAAAGAAACAAGCCTAAATTCTTATTACAAACCAGCCTCAGCCCCTGTTTTGAGCTTCATGGGAAATGATCTGATTTCCAGTAAAAGAAGAGAAGACCTGACCCTCTTTCATATTGTCATCTCTAACGTTGCTGTGGAGGATGTGGCTTTTATTTTTCCTCCCCAGAGGAGACGACCACAGCTTCCTGATTCAGAAACCGAATAATTTTCAGGGTGCACGTTGTCAACCGACAGCACATTCAGTCTGACGCCGTATGACTCGCGGGGAGACTAACGTCTAAAAGTTCACACATTACATCATTTCCATTCTGCCTTTTAAAACTTTCACAGTAAATGAGTCAGACGATTTATGTTAAAGGATGTCTGTGTGACTTTCTTCTTCTGTAAACCAACCACACGAGGGCCGCTTTCGAATCACGTGAACTGTTTACACACCTCCCAACATCTAATCGTTATACTGCCTGGTTTGCAACATAGTTGAGTAACTTATTGCAGAAAGACATTATGTAGTAGACAGTTCTTCCATCTGCAACCTTGTCAGGAACACTATTCATGTTCAGAGTTTCTACAATGATGCTGATCAAGTTAATGGATAATTTTATTATTGATCGTTTTGCAGGGTGGCTTTGTAACGTTGTAGGTTCCTGCAAACCTCGTGGGAATCTTTGTTAACTTCCACACAGGAAAACACTGACCTTTATAAAAACCCTCACATGAATTTGGTTGTGAATTAATGCTTTATATAGAGATCTTTAATAAACTTCATTTGTACAGATGTATTCGTTTGAGGAAAAGTCCTTAAGAGAAGATATTTTAACCCTTTTTTGCATCATAAACTTTCATTTTCCCTGTGGTCCAGTGGAGTCAATTCAAGCTTCAGTCAATACTAGTGCTTAAAACGGGAAAAACCCCTCAAACTGACAGTAATCACACTTACTGCAAACATCTGATTACCTTCAACCTTTGGATTAATTTATTTATTTAATTCTCTTTATTTCTGTGACGTGTATGTCATATTCAGTCATATTTATAGAAGATTTTTATCAAGCATCACTATACATGTTCACACCTCTTTTTGTTTGCTCTTCCTGTTCTGAATCGTCAACAAACAATTCTTTCTGCTTGCGAGTGCATTTAATTACGATGGAAAATGTTCACACACCGCTTTTCACACAATACGCTCTGAACAACGACACAGCACAACTCGACTACTCCTTTCCCCACAACCTGTTCTTCATTTTCGGCATTATCCGCATGTGTAAATACAACCAGACAAAAGAGAGAGATGACAAGCGTCCCATGAGAGAAAGTGCCTGGGGTATTCATCGCAGGGTCCCGCTCAAACAGGTTCTAATGTGTTTCATTGCCAAGGAGCTGCAGCAGCTGCACAGGTGAGCTGACATCCAGGTGGCTTTGTTGTCCTTCGAGACAATGGCGCGTGTAATCAGACAAAACATACCTGCCTCTCATTACAGAAACCAGGCTAAATAAACAAACTGGCAGAAAACACATGGTATCTATGAGGAAGCTGATATTCTCCGCAAGCTTCAAAGACAATTATACTGGTGGTGTTCGGCACGAATTCCTGTCTCAGCATGTAAGACAAACTGGTATAATACGGTGAAAATATTTGATTAAACTTATTTGGTGTCAACATCAAATCATGCAGCTGCTGCAGCCCTTCACTGTAAAACTGTGAAGAGCAGCCTATATACAGGACATGTGAGGAACTAAACATAATATTCCACCACCACACTTCTCATTCTCAATTTAATTGCTTTCACTTCAACCCGGTTTCCTCGTTCTACATGTATCACTTCTCCTCACAGTAGGATTTGTTTAACCATCTGAACAATTCTCTGCAGTGTTTCCTCAAAGTATCTTAATACTCACAAAAAAAAAAAACAACAACATAATGTGTCTTTGTGGCTTTTAGATTTGTGTGTTTTTCAGGTGTTTAAAATCCTCCTGTTGTTCCATATGACCTGCGTCACGTCTTTCTTTTACACAAAGGAGGTAGCGCTAATCCAAGGGCAGGGTGAGTGAGCTACACCGGTTTTTATTTTTAGCTGGCGATGTAGCAGCTATGGAGGTTCTGGTTCTTACCGCAGCGGTCTCGGACCACCAGGTTCCGTCCTTCCCTCAGTTTGATGTGGAGCAGGAAGGAGCGTGTAAGATCCTGGGCGCTGTCTGACATACCCTCAGCCTCGTTACCCATCTCACGCTGCACACAGAAACAAGCTCATCACTTATACTATCAGCAGAGGAAATAAAGTGAAGTCACTTCTATTTACATATGAACTTCATCTGAAAGTGGACAGCCCTTTTGTTAATAAACTACAAGTTAAAAAAACAATAAAGTTATTGCTATTCATCATCTTACGTACAAACGTCTCCTTTTGCCCATTTAGTATGAAAATCATATTGTCAGCAGCTCAATCCTGCAGTACTAGAAGGTTAAAGTATTTGTTTTGGATATAGATATTTTTATAAATCATTATTTTAGCCCAGCTCTTCCCTTTCCTTGACTGATACAGACACAGATCGATGAACCAGAACATACTTCCTCTTTATGTCCTGAACCCAACACAATAATCTGGAGTTTAATCTCTGACTGGATGTACGTCAGCTGTGGTACAAAGCAGCTGTTTGTATGATGAATTTTAAATAACATCCCAGCTATTATCCTGGATGAGTCCTTCCAGTCACATGGTTAGGCTGAGATAAAATACCAAAACATTCATAACCTCTCTGAGACAGACTTTAACAGTACCCATTAACTTTAACAATCTAAAACTCAGCAAACAGGTAATCAGCTGACCAAATCAGACACTTACATGTTGTTCTCTTTAGTTGTTTAGTCTGCAGACATCCTGAATTTATTGTAGAGACAAAGTTAAATAGTTGGTCTAAAGAAATGAACGCCCCAGACGAGTTAAAGTTCAATCTGCTGAGCAGGGAAAAGAGGAAAAATGTGTTTGCCTTTTCTGCCATGATCACAAATCCCCTGAGCATTTTATTAAAAAATTCCTGCATCCTGGGGTCTGAGCGGAGTAAACCTGTAAAATCAGGAGGAAAAACTGCTTTTCTGCTCTGAATCATTGCAGTTTTAGGTCTTCTTCTAAAGATAGGATCATGTTGGACTGAGAATTTTTACCATTTGTTTCAAAAACATAATAAAAAAACTTTACTTCCAAWCTTTGTGCAGGAAAGACTTTCATATTTACTCACCTGTGCTGCTTAAATACATGAATCATAAATTAAATACATCAGATGCTGAGCCGGTACACTAATACAGCTTACAAAGTAAACACAAACAAGATTCTTATAGAAACCTGCAGCGGCTCAGACATATTTTAATGTGCAGACGTCTTGTGAGCCTTGTGTGAATGCTGTGATGATGAAAAAAACACAACATGTTCAGGGACTGAGTTCAATTATTTGTTTGCACACAAATAGACTTGAATCTTTTTTGCTTGTTTACGTTCCTATCTGACAAACCTTCTGTGGCCCTGAGTCTGTTTAATACTGACAGCCTCAAGGTTATTTCATACATTCTGATCAAATTTGTTTYATGCTACAATCCAAAGTTGTAAAGTAACCAAGTACAAATACTTATATTTGTACTTTACTTGAGTAATTATTTTTCAGCCTACTCTTTATTTCTACTCCTTACACACACAATTATCTGTACTTTCTAAACCTTACATTTTTTTAAAAGGCAAAAAAATAGAAAGTTGTTACTTTTATTTCATATTTSCTTGTTTTCATTCCAGCTTGTTATTGTAAAAAATAAATATTATCCATATAAACTGTGCCTCTTATAGAGTGAATTTAACTGTGGTTGAATGAGAAGTATAAATATATAAAATTCTGATACCTTATTAGTTTGTACACAGACAAATCATGTCACACTCCAGCAGAATATAGTCATTACAAAATTACAAAAATATAGTCATCATAGAAATAAAAGGACTGTACTTAAGAAGTATTTGTATTTCATGAATTATATGCATCTCAGTATTATGAATTATATTATTGCATTTGGCCTGCAGCCCTTAGATAAATTTTCATTTTGGGGAAAAGGTTTGGGCACTCTTAATTTAACATAAACTAATTATTTAAATACAACAATTTTTTGGGAGTTCACCTCTAAATAAATATCCTTACAGAMAATCTAACTGCTCATTTTAAATCAATACTTTTACTGTTAATACTTAAAAACAAAAAATACCAGATACTTTAAGACTTTTACTAAAGTAATATTCCTAATGGAGAATTTAACTTTTACCAAAGTAATCTTTTGGTAAGATTCTYGTACTTTTACTCAAGTATCACTTTGTGGTACTTCATACAACACTGCTACAATCCCCACCAACAATTACATTTGACATCTGAAATCTAAATACTGAGAACGCAGAGTTCTAAAGCTCCAGAAAGACGGATAAATACCTCAAGAGACGAAACAAGTTTGTACAGGACAGCAATGAGGTAAGGATTACGGGTGGATGAATTTATTACTCTGGATGATCAACCCATCGCTGTGGTAAGTACAAAGGGTTTTGCCATCTTTCGAAACTGTCAGAGCCACAGAACATCCAACCACCACGATTACACTTGATAAATTTTATGGGGCATTCTGAGCAGAAAGGTTTTAAAACAGATAATAAGGGGTGTTTTTCAGTATTTATACACTGTAAAAAATGAAACGTTGGATTTACTTAACCATATTATATTACCTGGTTCCACTTAACTGAGTTGAGTAAATTCAAAGCAATAAACCAGTTTTTTAGCCAAAGAACATGAGCATGTTGCTTTGAATTTACTCAACTCAGTTAAGTGGAACCAGGTCACATAACATGGTTAAGTAAATCCAACATTTCATTTTTAGAGTGTACCATTAGAAATGTTTAATGGAGCCGAAGTTTTTAAGTCATTAAGAAACTGTATTGTGTGCCGGAACAAAACTCAAGTTTTCTTAACTGAAATATAGAGCTACATAAGAGTCAAACACATGATGTCAATGATTCTAATAACTTTTATGGACTTGTGATATTTAACCCACACATCTGATGCAATAAAAACTAAACAGTGGAAGTATCCGATTGACACGCTGCTTTTTTTTTTATAATTACTCGAATTATTGACAGTCCTGAAGATAAATGCAGCTTGGTGAAAAAATACAGATAAGCTGTAGTTGCTAAATGAAAAAGCAAATAATCATTTAAAACAAACAAGACAGATGATTAACAAATATTATCAATAAATATTACAGTAAACAACTACGACATATTTTTCTATTTGTTAGCTCAAAAAAATTAGTTATCCATCAACATACTGCTCAGTTTGAGATACCTGACAGCCTGATACGATCCACTGCATGGTCTGAACTATAAACCATGTCTACAAGTTTATTAGATGCCTGCTGCTCAGTGGGACTTGTGGAGATATAACACATTTGAGAAACTGCAGAGTGTGCCGTCTTCATTAAACTGTTAGAAGAAAAAAGGATTCTGCAATTCTGCTTGGTATCTGATGCTGAATGTGGTTTGTTATCAATAAGGGAACCATCAACAAGACAAAGCATTGCAACACCTCACATCCCCCATGCCAGGAAGAAATAGTCAGGAAACAGAAACTATTTTTTCCCTTGGAAAAATAATATTATTACCATTGCACATTTAAATTTGTACACTACCACATGGTGAGATAAGATAAAAATGGTCTTATAACCAGTTTAATTTTATGATGTTTAATTGCTCGTTCTCTGTGTTTCAGTGTAAAAAAAATAATTCCTTTGGACTGAGGTGTGATAAGTGCTGATGTCAGGCTTGCAGTTTGGTTTGAATTCTAATAGTTGATATTGTTGAAAGGGAAACAATGCAGCGAACACAAAAGCCACAGTTACCAGAGCTGCTGTAAACTATTTATTTAAGGTGGAGATTCAGCAGCAGCTTATCCAGCTTCTCCAAGTTAAACTTTCCAGCTCCTGTACAAACACACCCGACACCTCCTCCACACCAAAGTACATTATTAGACCGACTCAGGTATCTGATTATTGACACTTTGTGAAATTTCCTGCACAACAATTCCTCCATTTGAGCAGCTTAAATCGATTGTTTTATTGTTTTTAAAAATGTTAGGTTTTTCACTGCACGGCTCATAGGATCTTTTTTTCACATGACCACCTGTAGTCATTTCATTAGATTTCCTATTTATTTTTTTAATGTTTTGTTGTTTCTTACTAGACCCTCACCTTCTTGATTTATTTTAGATTTACATATATTACAGCACAATTACTGTATTGGTACAAATCATGCCTACTGCTGTTGATGATGTTACAATAATTTTAACTGCAAATAGATGCAGTGAGCTAAATTAGGAGCAAGTTTAATATATAAAAGCTACAAGGGTATAGGATAAGGCTAAACATTTTTTTCCTTCAGAAGTTAAAATGTTTCTTATATTTTATTTAGAAAATTGCATATTTTTGAATGAGAGCTCTGTGTTGAAGTGAGTTTGTGCTCTGTACCTGTGTGTTGTCAGGTGAATCATCTTCAATGGAGACATCTGGACTAGAGACAGAGATTTTGTTAGGCACGACTAGCTCTACAGGCTCCATGTTTTGAGCAGGTCTTTCCAAATAGATGTTCTCTTCTTCACAGAAACCATTTGCTGACTCCGGAGAGAAAGCCCAGTCCTTGTAATCTGAGGGCATGCTCAGTCGGTGAGCACTCTTTTTAGCTCCTGCATCAGGTACATCCAGCAGGCCACTCCCACCCCTTCCTTCAGATGCAGCAGCTTTATTAGGCAGCCTGGAGTCACCGTTGCGTGTTGTCGGGCTGTTCTGCTGGAGTTGTATTTTGGCGACCTGATTGTACTCCTCCCTCATGCTTCTTACATCTGCAACGGAGATGCTCAGCCGATGGTCCATGCTACGTTCCACTTGACAGGGCTGGTTGCTGGAACTTTTCTTGTTACGCCGAAAATGCGGCAGCATCTTCAGGTGAAGAGTGCGTAGCTTGCCAACTTTCTTGGAATCCATCATGGCAGAGGGTTCGTGTGTAAAGCTGGCGATCAGTAACAGCTACAATAAAATCAGAGAAAGGAAAACAAATTTAGTATATCTGCTGAAAACTGTGGCATTTGTGAAGATATAACCATCATAACCTGTACCGGGCAAATCAAAAGTCATGGATGACATATAAAAATAATGTAGCTGTCTTAAAGAGGACAGTGAAAAATATTAATCCATACAAAGCTGCAGAACTTCACGAAGATTTTTAACAGATATTTTCAGCATTTCTCTGAAACAGACTGTTGCATCACCAAGTTCCTCAAGRAGTCCTTTGTTCTTCACTTTGCTAATACGTCTATACTGCTAAACTTAACACAAACCACTTTATTACAGTGAATGATGTTACAGCAGCAGTGGCACCCAATGAAAATGAATAAACTTGCGGAGCTGATGGGGAGAAGTTAGTGAACTATGTGTGGAGACAATTATCTGTCACTTAAAGTCTGCAAAACTAAAGGAAATATTGTGGATTGTAGTAAAAGGAAAAAGCTGATTTACTCTCCTACCCCAACCGTTTTCACCAACTTTAATCAAAAGCTCTAAATAAACATCCTAAACAGCTTCTTAGCATCACAACCACAGTGTGAATGGCAGGAAGCCCCTGCAACACGGGGTGAAAAATGACTGAAAACTATTGCAGTCTCACTATTTGCTCCCTTTAGTCCATAGTTAGAAAAGCAAGAAAAAATTATTCAGTATTGTGAAATATTTAATTGGTTCCTTATATGAAATAACTAAATTATATATGATTCATTCAGTAGCCACATTTTTATTAAGCTAATAAAGTAGCATTTTAATGTCATTTCAGACATATAAAAGTGAGAAACTTCTTACATGTCTAATGGTGGCAGAAAGTCACAAACATTATTATTTATAGTAGGAAAATAAAAAGCTGAATGTTAAAGACGAGTTACAGACACTAGCTCGCTTTAACAGAAAATTAGAGGTCAATTTTTTTTTACCGCAAATTGCTTAGAAATATCTCTACAGCACATTAAAAATATTTTTGATGATTACAACAAAATTATTTTCAAAATCTTGTCAATTAAAACACAGCACATTTCCTTATCAAAGAAATTAACTTAAAATATTTTGAATTTCTTCAAATGAATAACTTTCAGAACGCAGAATGAAGATTTTACAACAACGTAAGTTAATGAGCTTGTATACAAATGATTTTAACATCACGCTCAAAACTCACACTTGTGTGTGACTTGTCAGATGAAGACAAAGAGACGTCAGCTGGTGGTTTCAGGTTTAGCGACTCGATCAGTTTCTGACACTAAATCCATTTTACAGGTTTATTGGATAGCATATAAACTGTGATAACCATAAATAAAATAAAATAGGTTGGCAGCTCAAACACAAAAGAATAAGCTACACAGAAAATTAGCAAATATGTTTTAAAATACTAACATTTTAACAAAATTTCTAAAATTTACTGTAATGCTAGAAAACGTGCTTTAAAAAAGCTATGAAAGTGTTTAAAAAGATGGTGCAAACTTTAAGGTTTTATTCATTTATATTATTTCATTATTATTATTTTATTATTTTTCTTTAAGCATGATGTTATCAGAACAGGAAGAAAGAAAGGAGCAAAGGAGAAAGAAAAAAATAGTATAAATATTTTATAAACAAGTTCCCTGGCATGCGTTCATGTGCTCATTCCACTCAAAACATCCTTGTGTAACAATGTTTTTGTCAGAATTAGATAATCACACTCGAATAACAAACATTAATAAATGTTTACTTTTATTTATTTAGTTTGTCTGATAAAACTTGTGAACTAGTCAAAAAGAGAGAAAAGGAGTAATTTTGTTTTTGAAAACATTGAACTGCTCAGTTTCTTGATTTTTACTTGCATTGTCTGTGATGCTGGATTGTTGTCAAACCTGACTATGATCTGCAACTGTAATTAACACAACAGATACAGATTTTGTACCTTTTTTGCTGTGTAGTGGTCACCTAGGGGTGGAATAAACAGTTCCACCTGTCTTTGACCTCGCTCAGGAGGCTTCCTTCTGAGAGACAGAACTCTGTTCAAGTTAAAGCCACATGTTTTCTTAAACAGTAAAGAGACCTTTTCTTCTTATTAATCAGATAATAAACAGAATAATCTTCTTTTATTTATAATTTTATCAATGTATAAAAAACATAAAAAGAATGTTATTACAATGTTTTATTGTGCTTTGATGTAAATCACTGCTTGAACATTAACTGTGAAACCAGTAATTGATTATAGATTTTTAAGTTTAAATATTTTACTTAACTAAACTTTGCATTATAGTTAAGCTTTATTATGAAACATTTTATAATTATTTTTATCTGATGCATTATAATGAATCAGATAAAAATAATTACAAAATGTCAATGATGTCACTGATGCTGCTGAACAAAGAAAACAGTCAAACTTTCATAAACAAATGACTAAAAACAGCAGACTGTTTTCTTGTTTGTTCATTTTATTCATGTAAAACTAAAACACACTTTTTCAGAAAAGGCTTCCGCAGCAAAAATTTTCATTCACTCTTGTACTGTATAACACATGGAACATTTTTTTGTTTATTTATTAATAGCCTGCAATAAAATAAAAACATTAATCACTGTAGGTGCCTGCTACAATTGTGAACCTGTAAAGTTTTAATTGATTTGATTTATTTATTTAACAGGAAAAAATTATTAAAAATCAAGCCTGACTCAGCATAATTGCTGTTTTACAGCAGGTTAMTGTTCTGCAGCACATAAAACACTCAGAATTACAGCATCACAATCACATCATTATACACCATAGACACAAA